AGCAGTCAGACTCCTCAACGATGCCTCAGCGAGGGCCAAGCCCAGGCAGGCGACGCAGTTGTCGTGCTGATCTGGCGGTTCGATTGGTCCCACTCCCACGCAGGTCTTGCAGAACGAAGCTATTCTTCAGGTTGTATTGAAGCGAACAAATAAGTGAAGAAGATTCTGACTTAATTGTCACGTGCACCGCATTTTATACTGCCTCTCAAGCTCGTTAGTATTTGCATGCGATTTGCATACTTCACGACAATTGGCCAGTCAGTTGGACTGGCTTGAGCCAATAGGACTTCAGGAAAGGTTGGAAGGGAAGGAGTTCCCATAGCGGAGAAACCTCCGCAATGTCTCGTGAAAGCTTGAAAGGGAACTCCCAGTTCACAAGTTGCAATTACGAGTTCTACGAGGACGTGAACGCTTTTTACAAGTCAGAATCTTGTAATCACGGTAATTATAATGTACGCACCTGAACGCACCCGAGTTCCCCAGTAGTAAATACAACTTGAGAGGCTGTTCACGTCAAATAGCATGTGAAGGCAGCAACAGTCTAACTAGCTAGTTTAGCAGCATTTTTTCCCTCACTAGAGATCCCACAGCAGGCGGAATATCAATGGGTCATAAAGCGAGTCGAAAGCTTTAGGCGGGACATGCTAATAAAGTGCTGCCTTCACAGTTACCGTGCATTCACACCGCCGCCATCGTGAGCGTCAAATTGGCCGGCATCGAGCAGTGGCGCGGCATGTCTTGGACATTGAGGGCGTCGAGGAGAGTTGAAATCAGGTCAAAACTTTATGGTAATGATCTATGACACGGTTTCGGCGGCAACCAATCGGAACGTAGAAGTCCAACGTTTAATTCAGGTGCGAAAATAATTAATATCTATAGTGCATGAGCACAGAGATTTGAGAGTGCACAGGACACCGTTTGAGTGAGAGGAGAGATACGTTTTAAGTGTGCGCACTCTCTCCGGGCGAGAGCAGCGTGTATCTGAGCACGTGCGTCCAGTTTTGTGCGAGAGCGGAGAGATTCGCTCTCGCGCATTATATTAATGTGCTTTCGCGCTACAATAATGCGCTCTCGACATTTGTCATTAAAATAACGCCATATCTCTCAAGACTCGTTCGCACCTCCAGCGTCTCGCAGCGATCATTTTCATACCAGGGACGCTAAACATTCTTGCAAACTGTCTAAACTGAATTATACATGTCATGCGGGCATTCATATGAGGAGTTTAACAGCAAATTAGTAATTCAAAGAACAAATTTTATTTTTGAACATAAAAATTTTACCGAGGTCCGGACCTCGGTGACCTCATAGCTGGTTACGGGCCTGTACACCATAGATATATATACATATCGATGGTCTACACTGGATGCGATGCGACACGACAAATCCCCGACAGAAAACTGCTGCTGCGTTCTATTCATGACATATTGACACAAATTTCAAATGATTTTCAACGGTCGCTTTGTTGTGTCCATTGTACTAGACAGACTTTAGTTGTTGCGGCGCACAGTGTTAGTGCACAGACACAGTGTTACTCACCTATCGAGAAGCAGAGGCGAACCAAGATGAAGTGGGGGCCCCAGGCAAAATTAATAGATGGGGCCCTTCTAAAAGATTATTTTGTTAATATATCTTCGTTACCTAGATATATATTTATACAATATACAAAAAGTAGTTAAAACACATATAATAGAAAATAAACTGTTAATTTTTTTATATCAATCTTCAACTTCATGGCAGAAGATACAACTGACAGCCTCTCTTAATTCATTGTTGATCTGAGGTATGTTTTTTATCAGCTTTACTAGTTTTATTAGTTGACAACTAATTATGTTAACTCAACTAATTTAATATAGAAGAGCTAAATAAATAGTCAACTAAGTAAATGTAATATTTATTTTTAATGATTCGTGGACTCCCCACTGGCAGCAAGACACAGTACCCAGGGGGGGACAAAGACGAGCACCCCCCCCCCCCC